ACTTGAGTCTGTCTAACATAGGAATTATAAATGCTGCCGTCTTTCCACTCCCAGTACGTGCCATTGCAACAACATCTTTTCCTAGAAGTATTAAAGGAATAGCCTGAATAAACCATCATTATGGTTACTTTTCTTTGTATTGGCGTTGGTATCTTATACCCTTTCCTTAAAACACCTTTAAGTGAGGTTTGGCTTAAACCCATTGATTGAAAGCCCCCAGCCTTCTTATTAGTTCTATTTTTGTTGATGATTCTTTGTCGAAAGTCAAATGAAGAAATATCGTCATTGTCAGAAGAAGGCATTAAGGAAGGCACGACTACAGGCGACAGGACAGGACCAGAACGAAAATAGCGCCTAATAAAATTTATCAATCAATATAAAAGTAATATACCATAATGTAGAAAAAAGCTAATATTAAAGAAATAATTAATAATATCACGTGTTTTATAAATAATTAAGGATGTAAGATTTTTGTTGATTAGGCGCTGTTTTCGTTCTAGGGCTATCCTGTTTCCCGTATTCGTGCCTTCTGTAATGTCTTCTTTGAACAATGACGATATTTATTCACTTAACTTTAAATAAAAAATCCTCAAAAAATAGGACTTATTAGAACCTGGGGGTTTTCAATTAATAGATCTAAGCTAAACATCACTTAAGGTGTTTTAAGGAAAGGATATAAGATAACTGCGTTAATACAAAGAAATGTAGTTCATAAAATAGTTTATTTAGTCTATTTATTTTTTTATCATTCCCAAAATGTGATAAATCAAAGGAGCAAATTATTTTTTGATTTGTTATAAAACATTATGCTGAATATGCTAAAGACGTAGGTCTTTTCATTTACGTTGTTCCCAAATCTTTTATAACTATTTGTAAACTTCCAAATTTTAATAGTTAATTCTATGCTAAAATGGGGTGTATGTTGCTATCTATTATCCTCCAGCTTACTGTCTTTTCACTGCACTGTTATTGCCTTACTGAAAAATGTTAGCTATTTGACTAATTGTTGGGATTACTTCCATTTCGAGTAGAAGTGTTGGGTGAAGAGATTCGAAGGTCGGTTCCACC